CTTTTTTTTTTTTTTTTTTTTTATGCTGAGAGAATGCTTGAAATAGAAAACCAAGTTGACTCAAAGCCTGTGGGATTAGCAGCCAGGAAACCTTGAAAAGCCGACAAGAAAGCCTTCACTAAGATGGCAAAGGCTCCGAAGACAGATCCTGAAAACCAGTTTCCCTGGTTGATTTTCATACCCCCCCAGTCAAGTCAAAGACATACTACCTCTGACCAGATTTCAGCCATAGAGGGGAGCAGTGCAGACTCCGGACCCTGGTGCCCCCCTTTCGGCCCAAACCCAGAACTAGAGAGAAGGGGCACAGTCTGCTGTGAGTTACCAGCAGCTTCGGATCTTGCTGCCTTCACCTATAAAAGGAGCTAAGTTCTTTGCCTGAACTGTGGCTGCCACACAGTAGGTGCCTGAAGAATGATTAAATAACACTTCAGTTCTATTATTTTCCACCATTATTTTGTTCTTTTTTTATATTGGGTATTTTTTCCCTCGGCCCACAGTTCCTCAAACCCAGAACAAAAGTCAAAAGGTTGATGCCTTGGGCTAAATATGCCCCCACCCCCAAATTCATAAATTGAAACCTAATCCCCAGTGTTTGGTGGTGGGGCCTTTGGGAGGAAGTAGAATCACAGAGAGGTTTAGCTCTGTGCACACAGCAAGGTCACAGCTCCTTAAACGGCAGAGCCAGGACTCAGATGCAGACCAACCAGCTCCAGGCCGCATGCCCTGGACCTCCCCTCAGCGCTGTTCCACCATGGGTCCCCCAGGCCTCGTGTAGCCTTTACTGGGTGCCAGGCACTCTTCCCAGTATGTGCACAAAGGGTCTGTTTCCTGCTGCTGCTGTAACAAATGGCCACAAGCATGATGACTTAAAAACACAAATTTATTATCTTACCATTTAGGTCAGGAGTCCAAAATGAGTCTTGTTGGGCTAAAATCAATTTGTTGACAGGGCTGTGATCTTTCTGGAGGTTCCAGGGGAGAAGCTGTTTCCTTGCCTTTTACAGCTTCTAGAGGCTGCAGGCATTCCTTGGCTCGTGGCCCCTTCCACCATCCCTGCAGCCAGCAGTGGCAGGTCATGTCCCTCTCACATCACTTCACTCTAACTCCTCTGCCTCCCTTTTTCACTTACAGGAGACTCATGATTGCATGGGTCCCCCAGGATAACCCAGGATCATCTCCCCATCTCAAGGTCATCTGATTGGCAACCTTCATTCCATCTGCCACCTCAATCCCCCCATCACATAACCTAACATGTTCACAGGCCCCAGAGATGCAGATGCAGACATCTTGAAGGGACATTATTCTGCCTACCACACTTACATCCTCTGGCTCACCTAATCCACACAGCAAACTGAAACGTGGGTATAATTATGACCATCTTACGGAGGAGATTATGGAGCCATGGAGATGTTGGGTGCCTTGTCCAGGTCACACAGGCAATATTCAGAGACCTGGCGTTCTACAGGTGTCCAGCTCTACAGCATGTGTCCTTGACCACTGTTTAACCTCCATGCTAAGAAAATAGGAATATCAGCCATCTCAGAGAAAATCAGTAGCTTGGTAATATGCCTCCAGGTGATGGTAGCCCCTGGCTCTCCTGGGACAACTCTAGTTTGCACCTCCTGCCCCATTTTACTTCCAGAAAGTGCCCTTGTGTCTGGTAAATATTAGTGCCACCCTCCCAGAGCTGATGGAAATCTGATTATCCATGCTTTTGGTGATTCTGAGCCCCAGTCCCCAGGTGTCTGTAAATGGACAACACCTGGGACCTCTTGTGGTTGTAGGTTCTCTCCCACTCCAAGGGTTTGTCAGTCAACAGTGACAGCTTTTATAGAAGTATCTATTTTTTATAACTAGTATCTTCATGGGGAGAAAGGAGCTTAGGACCTTTCTAAGCTTCTCAAACTGCGCCCAAGGAGACATGTGTACGAGGACACTGGTTGCTTTTCTGGGTGGAGTGCTGGTTAGTGTTCACTCATCCCTCCTCTGTTTCCTTTTTCCTGGGCGCTGCAGACCGTTGAAAACTGTGTGTGCATTTTAAGGAACCTCTCGTACCGGCTGGCGGCGGAAACGTCTCAGGGACAGCACATGGGCACGGATGAGCTGGACGGGCTGCTCTGTGGGGAGGCCGGTGGCAAGGATGCCGAGAGCTCCGGATGCTGGGGAAAGAAAAAGAAGAAAAAGAAGTCCCAAGACCAGGTGACGCGGGCGCCTCGCAGCTGCATGCAGCCACCCCCTCCCTAATTGCAGCACTTAGATGTCGTCGGCCGTGTAGGTACAGGGTAGCATCAGCGTGCGGCACCGTCGCTGACGCGTCCTCGATTTTCCTGTGGGAGGGTCACAGCTGAGGCAGTGGGACGTTAAATGCCTCCCCCCGTCCTGTGGGCCGAGATGGGGAATTTCAAAAACAGAAAGAGCCACTCGGGCCCCGGGCGGACTGTAAGGTGCCAGCTCATAGAGTGACCCAGGCGCCGCTGCTTCCCCACGTGGATTCGCACATTGACGGGGGGCCCTGTGGGGTCCAGGTGCAGTGACAAGCAGGTGGTTCAGATGCACGAAATAGGTGTGGTCTGGGAAAGGGAGCTGAGGAGAGATGCCCGAAGCTTCAGCACCTGTTGCACCCCACATTCTGACATGTTGGGGCATGCAGTCTTGCACTTACTGGGGAAAATGGGTGGCAAACTGAGACTCAGTCCTTCCAGCAGAGTGACATCAGAAGCTTGGTTTTGGGGGCAAGTCCCATGAATTAGAAAGCCAGACAGCTGGAGAGGCCTCTGCAAAATGAACGGCCTTTATCTTGAGCAGCTGTAAGTAGGTTGCCCTGAAGAGAAGCAAGGCCAATAGGCTTGGTGGAATCACAGCAGCCTCTGTCCCTCTCCCAGGAGCCTCTGGGAGGCTGCGCCCCTCCCCCACCGACCCCCCAGGTAAGGGAGTAATGCAAAGAAATGCCCATCCTGCTACTGACCAGACACCCCTGACACCAGGTTCCCCCCATCTCCCCTGGGCACTGTGGTCATGTGTCCAGCTTCCCCTGGACATTGTGATCACATGTCCAACTTTCCCCTGGACACTGTACTCATATCCCAGCTGCTAAGGGTTATACAGACTCAAGATCTGACTGTCCTTGAGCTCAGATGACAGAAAATGGAACAGAACCCACAACACTCTCTCTTGCTAGGTTAACAATCAGAATAAATATGCCAAGTATGTTTAGATCATGGCGCACCATTTTTAAACTATTTTGGAAATCATTTCACCTTGAGTAAGGGTTAAAGGAACTGTTTTATTAAGAGTACAGATTGATGGGAATGCATTTTTAAATAGAATCCCAAAATTTGACTTGAATGCATCAGCGTTAGCATTTTTATAGGTTGCAGTTCTCTAGCTGTTTGGGGGCCCTGAGGGCTGCCCCAGGTACTTCTACAACTAGACCTGAATGTTCCGGTTTAAACGCTCCTGTAGTTTAGGAGACAGCGAGCCGCTTCTTTGATGACGATCCTCTGCTCTCAGGACTAGATTTCCAGCCCCGCCTTTTCTGCTGTTGCGGGTCAGTGCATGAGTCTTCCATCTTCTCCCTGAATCCGAGGAGCCTTGTAAGAGGACTGAGCTGTGCTTCTTCATTCAGCCACTTACAGCCGTCCCACTAGGGGAATAAATGGTCAGCCAGCAGGTATTTATTAAACATCTACCATGTGACAGGCATTACACTAAGTGATTTCAGATACCTCGGTTCTCCTACCTGTACTTAAGGGAGCCAGGTAATTATGGGTTCTGAACATTTTTAATATCAAATAAACTAAACATGGCCTAACAAAGGCATAGTGGTTCTTCTCATGGTTTCCTGCTGCAGGACCTTGATCCCAGGGGGCCCAGTCCCTGCTCTGCTTTATTCTGGAAACTGAACAGGCACAATCATGATTGAAATGTGCGCAGGAATCTGATTCTTCCCCATCTGCCTGGTGATCATAATCCTGGGGGCCCTCGTACCACCTAAGGACTCAGAAACTCTGGATAGGCCCCGACAACTTCACAAGGCAGATTTGGGAAATCGCCTTAATACAATTTTTGCCTTAACTAAAAGTACTTCAAACTGAGACTGCAGTCATTCTGATTTCAAGGTTTTCTCTCTAGTACGTTGCTTGGATTCTAAAGTGCTTCCTTCTGATGTCCCTAGTGCCTGTCCCTGGTGTCTCATTTAGTAAGACTTTGCCCAGAACCCTGACCCCTTCTCCACCTTTGCCAAGGTGTACTCACCTGGCTTGCAGGTGACAGATGAGATTAGGAGTTGTCTGGGTCCAGAGGAATCAGAGGTTGGAAAAGAATGTCCTGGACTTTACCCCAAAATAGAGCCCTACTTTCAAGCAGTTAGCTGCATCGTGAAACTTTATGGTGAGCAACTCTCTAGGCTTGGAGAGCTGTCCTTTGAACCATATTTTATCACATCAATGAGCTCTTTCCTGAGTTGAGTAAAGTGAAGTGATTAATTTTATGATTTTTGTCAGTCTAAATGCAAATGTATATGGTTCGTTTGTCTCATTTTTTCTTACACTATTCTTTAAGAAAAAAGAAGTTTAAGTTTTGCTGAAATTACTGTGAGTTAAATACAGTGGATGTTGTTGTTTATAAGGAAGCTTCAAAGTTAGGGTTCCAACCAAGTGATCAGATTTTAAAAGCCTTTTTAACTGGGTTCTCTATAATACAAAACCAGTTTGAAGTGCCCAAAACTGAAGTATCAAACCTAACGAGGATGTAAATGGGTAACAATTATGCCTTTTTGAAAAGTCATTTGGGTACGTTTCGTCAAGTTCAACATATTTAAAGACAGTCAAAAATAAAATCTCTTTTGCCTTTAAAGACCAATGGAAGGGAGTAGAAGCGGAAGGGCCCAGATGTGAGAGGAGAGCTGTGAGAGGAGAGTGCAGGCAGGACCTAAGATGAGCTGAAGGAGGGGAGCAGGAGACCAGGAGACCGCTGGCAAATCCTGGGGCCTCCTGGCTTGGTGGCCAGGCCCAGGGAGAGAAGTGAATCAAGATAGCGCCACCTGCTGGGAAAGATTGGCATTTGAACCAGCCTGAGGGTCTCAGCAGAAAAAAGTGCTTCACCCTGAGGATTTCCTCCAGGGGTTTGCACTTGGGGAAAGTAGGCCACCATTCCAGCAAAGGGGTCAAGGAGTCTACAGAAATTAAAGGCTCTCTGCTTCAAGTGAGAGATGGAGCCAAGCCCCGAGTCAGCACTGTCAACAGGTCGCAGCAAGGTGAGAAATGGGTGTTGTTCCCAGGCCTCTCTGGGACATCCATCTTTGCCAACAACAAGATCAGCAGGTTACTTTCGGAGCCTGTAAAGTGATTTAACCCATCTAGAAGCTTCTAGAGAGTTCTAGTTTTACAGTTTTAAAGATGGTCGGATATCAACCATCCCCTGGGATCTCTAGGGCTTAAAAAGTCAAGTTTAAAAAAAATTTGTAGTGATTCGAGAAAATATATAATACAAAGTGAAGTGAAGTAAGAAATACAAAAGTAGGTGCGTGCACAGGTACAGATAAGATGTAGATTAAACCTGGCCAGTTTTGTAAAATATGCGACATATGCAAATATAAAATATATGCATGTACAAAAAAAGTATGTGTTTCTAGAAAAAGTGCAGTAGCATCAAAGATAGAAGATTGTGATTGATTCTTTTTGTGCTTATCCATTATTAATTTTCTACAATGGACCTTACATTTGTAATCTTTTCAAACACCATTTAAAAAATAATATTTATAAAGGCACTAACTGCTCTAAGTCAATGTTTGCTTTTAAGAATGTATAAGGTCCTTCTTTTAAATTTAAGATGCCTCAGAGAAAGGCACAGGGGCTTTGTAAAATGAAAAGTTATCTAATCCATAACAAAGATGTCCCAGGACATAGGAGCTAAAGATTTTACCAGGAAGCAAAAGTGATGAAAATCATTGGTTTAATGATTGCCTCTGGAGCTTTCTGTATTCCAAAAATTTATGTTGACTCCTCCCTTTGGCATTGATATTCTATACCTAAGGAAAATGCTATAATATTCTTTAGGTCATATTTAGTTATAATAAAAATCTCAAAAACATTTTCTTTTAGATCCCTGGTAGGGATAATTCAAGAAAATATGTGATACAAAGATATGCTTCATTCATACTTTATTTCAAAAATGGTTGCTGTTGAAATGTACTGAAATTATCAGACTATGAGCCGCTGTGTGTGACGTACTTGACAATTCTGTGCACCATGTTCTGGTCCAAAAGGGCTTTGCAAATTCATTGAGTCTGTGTTCAGAGCCTACTGCTGAATTATAATAAATTGCTAGTTTCTCTAGCTCTTTTTGGGCAGAACTCCCGCCAAAGCAGTCTGCGTGTCAGGTGCCAAGAAGCACATCTCACCTGGAAAGGTGCTCACTGCCTAGCAGGGCTTCGTGCCAGCCGCCTAGGACAGCAGCTCAGGGGTAGCAATCCAGAGATTCAGGTTTGGGTCCAGGGAAATAGAAATAGACAAAATTGATTTATTTACTTTCCCACATTTTGTAGAAATAAACATTTTTCCATTTTGTTTTTCAATTTGGTATATGGCCAAGGCTCCTGCAATGGGGCCCTGGGATTGATGGTGCTCAGACATGGATTAGATGCTGGCTGCTCTTCAGAGCAGACCTGGGTCTTCAAGACCCACTCAATGTGAACTTGACAGTGTAAAATACAGAACAAGGGAAGTCCCCTAGAATTCAAAATTTCTCTTTTCCTCTTGCATATCATCCGTGAATTTTTTGATTCACACAATATATATCCATCTACATGGGTGAAGCTTTGACCCATCAGAATTCAAAGGTGATTCTGATCCAGGCCTGTTCTGTGGTGGACTGTCTCTCCTGATCGCCTCTGTTCCACAGTTCACTGAGTCGTGGTCAGTTTAAAAGCAAGTGCTATTGTTCTTTTCCAGCTTGTTCTTACATTATAGATGCCGTATGCATAGCTAGCAGCAAGTGTCACTTATGACATCACCATGGTACTTTATATAGAAAAGCAAGAGCCGTATGCCTCCGTAAAACCTTTGTTAACTTGAAAATGAAAGGGCCTTTCCAGATGAGAGGCAAACAAGCCTTTATTTGAAATCGGTAAGAATAACTATTTGGGAATCATTGATTCCAGCCGAAGCCCAAATAGTGTTCCGATTAGGACACAAAGGCAA